ACCAGGGGTCAAGAAACTTATTAGTGCGGTCAATCTCGGATATCATTGGGGTGCTTTTTACGTTGACGTGGAGAGAAAGCAATGCTTCCTGTTCGACCCGATGCAGCTGAAGAGCAACATCACGTCGCCCAGAACGGCGGTGTGCACTGTCGTAGAGCCAATGCTGAAGATGACGGACCAGATCCAGTACGAAACTATCACTGGCTGTGAGCAGCAGGATAGCTCGTCCTGCGGCCTCTGTTGCTTGGTCGTGTTAGAGCTACTGCTCTTTGGAGCAACTCACGATAAGTGGAGCAACTATTTGAGCGACTTGTTGTACGAAGCAGGTGGCTATTTGCGCATGCGGTACTTGCACAAGGTGATCAAGCTGCAGAGCCACTTTCCAGCTGAAGACGAACCGGAAGAAGAGAAGTAAGTGCAGACATTAGTTACTGGTAACTTCAACACGAATTGATTTTGGTATCACTTTGAAGCCAAACAGAACCAAACCAAATTTATACGGAACCCGTGGGACTTAGCGTTTTTTTGCGAGGTGTTCCTGCTCCAGGGAAGCCCAGTCAAGTCTATATTTTGAAAAACGGCTGTGCGTTCAATTTTTCATACTCAGCGCCATATTATTGTATAGGACACATAAGCAAACGACGAGATTGGATTCGCTAGAAACTATGTAGACTATAAAAGGCGACATGTACACTATAAACGACATCAAACTTACGCACTTACCGAGCACTTACCGCGTAATTTACTGCCACTTCGTCATTTATTTGAAAGCCCATTCTCTGTTGCACGCAAAAAAGTACGTTACCCATCACGCGTGTGTGAGAGACCTTATTTTCGTCTATCCATTTTCTGTTGGACTAGGACGATCCCAGAATTCCTAAAACTGAAATAGGTAATCATGTTGTGAAAAATGAAGCCTGCATTTTTTTTAAATACAACTGAGCTGTATAAACATAGCTTATCCCTTGGCCAACAGCGCTTCGTTAACCTCTTCCATACCGGAATTCAGGCCTCCGAACACGTTAATCACGGTACTTTTACGTCGTATAATACGACGAAGAGTTTCACCGTATATTTGTATGGCGTACATAACCGCCTGCGGGAAACTGCATAAGATTTCAACAGGTTTTGTTAGAGATGTCGTCAATTATACTACGTAGATGGCGGCCTTCCTCTCCTAGATGTCGTAAGTTACCCCTGTTGACAGCAGAAGCGACCAAAAGAGTGGCACAACCAATCGAAACACATGTTAAAACAGGAAGCAAAAAAGACATAAATTGAGAAAAAGTACATTAGCACCTAACACTCAACATCGCTTGCATGTCAGCTCATCGTGCTGGCTCCAAAGCCTGTGGCCCAGGCAGTACTAATCCTCGTCACTGCCAGCTACGTTTCCCGTTCCTTTGTCATCAGCATCGTCGCCGCGGAGCTTCAATTATCGTCGCGTCTTCTTCCGTTCACCCGCCGTCTTACCAGGGCGGCGCAGGACGACCTTCTTGCCCAGCGCCACAGGAATACTTTGACCACGGTCAAAGTCATCATGCCAAATAGCGAAGCACGTCTTCGCTTCACCCTTGTAAGTATGCCGCAGCTTGTTACACAGCCAGCACTTGGCGTTGTCGACCGAGCAGCGCTCACAGAAGTAAGTTGTCGCGAAAGAATTTTTCTTCGGGTTGGCCCTCAGGAGTGCACACACCTTACAAGACCTCTGACGTCTCTTTTGAGCTCCACTTACCGTCACCCAGTCCTCCGACTGCTCCAGCTCGTGCGTCAACCGAGCGGGTGCACGCCTACACTTCTGACTGCTTGGCGGCGGCGTAACCACTACACCAGCAAAGTCTTCCACTTTGAGCTGCAAAAGTTGGTTTGCAGGACGCAAAACCACTCGCCCCGAGTCATCGCTGTTGTACCGGCAAGCCGAGCCGTCTCCTTATGCGATATGTATGCGTTCACCAGCGCCAAGTCGACGAACCCCAAGAACAAGCTTTTATAGTACTTGGAAAACCGGGTAGAGGTCTGGCGTGAGAACGACTGGAGGCGGAGTTGATCATGCACGTCAACTCCGCCCATCCAGCGTTGATAGTCGTTGACTGCAGCTGGGCATGGAACGGTGACCGAGCCGACCTGCTTGATCATCCGGTTGATAGTAGAAGCAGCCAAGGCCGAGCCGGTGCACAGATAATGCACCGGCTTTCGGTCCCACCAGTGAGAAGCAATCATATGCGGCACATCAACAGAACGGGCAAACGTGAAAGTGCCGCGGGGGATTGCTGCTGGTCGTGTCTTCCGGGTCGCTCTCACTTCTTTCGGGTATCCAAGCCGGTCCGTCATAATGGTGCCAATCACGTAGACTCCCATTCCTAGCAGCTCCACAGCAAGTAAAATTGACGGATAGAATCTGACAATTACGACAAGATGCCATTGGTGACGTGAGCTCTCATTCAGATCTATCTTCAGGTTACGCACGACAGCAGCAGCACCTGTCTTGTTGTCGAATGAGCTATCACCATTTTCTTCAACATTACGTTTGCCAGCGTACATCTCGAATCTAGATAGTTACGACATAAGAAGTTAGATATTAGTTTGTAAGTAGAAACTTACGACATACACATTACATGTGGCAATAAGCTGTCCTGGAGTCACACAACATGAACATTTTCGATCCGTATCTATGAGGCTTATCTTGCATAATATACGAGTGATGTTCCGCTTTGACGTAGAGGGCAGGATGCCTTCATCAAAAGAAAAAACGCCCGGTAGCGACCAGCCAGCCAAAAACCGCTGTCGACAATGGGACGCAATTTCCAGAGCTTGTCGCGCGTCCGCTCCGCTTCGTTGTCAACGAAATGGAGATCACGTAGAATATCCGTACATCGGTTACGACCCATGAATTGACCAAACGTTCCGGCGAGAGCAGCGCCATCGACTGACATCGACCAGTGAGCTGAGAAACGGCACTTCTGTGGACACAGCATACGGGCAACGAGAAGCCCAATCACATGCAGGATCTCGTGCGTCTGGTAGGCAGGAGACGCTCTCAAACGGCGGCGGATCTGGACAATGGTCTCGCGATTCTCGTGCGGGCGGTCGGCTTGCCTAGATAGTATGCGCCGTGCTCGATGGTCCACTTCTTGTAGACTGTATCTATTGGTTTCCGCTCCGATCATTATCCATAGTGACTTGAGCATGAAGTAGAAAAAGGTAAGTAGCGGCGAGTAGCAAATGCGTTGCAGCTCTTGCGTCGGCTGACATCTTCCATGTTGAGCCCAGGATACGCGGGAACGTTTTCCTCGAACGACGACGTTGCTGGTGTCCACTGCATCCCACGTAAGGCCCCAGCTCGCTGCTGAATCGCGCTCTTGCTCAGCGTCTCTGCACCAATTTGAAGCGACGTAACATAAGCTTCGTCCATCTCCACTGCATCGTTGTCCGATACCAAATCCATGTAGCCGCGGGGCGGCCAACATCATCACTTCCATCGTCAAAGTCTTCTGCGGCACTATCCTCAGAGCTGAAGCTCTCATAAGCATCCAAATCCTCGTCGTCTGGAACAAAATTCACGTCGCTCTTGACGATGTTTCTCTGCGGTCCGTTGGTGCAGCTGGCGTCGCCGCTGGGGTAGCATCGCTTTCGGCTCCAGACGCTTCTGACAGTAGTTGCAGGTTGGTGGCTGCTTTTCGATCTGGCTCCGCCGACGGTACGCTACTTAGCAATAGGTTAAACGCCCAAGCCACCGCCGCCTGCGAAAGTTCCACACCCGAGTCGCTGGATGCTCCAAAAAACTCATACAAGCTGTTTTCGGATAGCTGAGCGGTAGTGCCGATTTGAGACGGACGGACGTCGTCAGCCACAGCATCCTCAACACCTACTTGGACTCCTTCGGTCACTGTGGCCTCGGCTGTTTCATTCCCGCTATCTCCGTCTGCGTTCTCGCTGCCTTCAATGTCTTGGATCAATCCAGACTTAATAGCAAACAGTACTACTGCATCCTCACCGACAAACGTTTCCGCGCCGTCAGGCCTTACGTAGCTCCACTTACGCTGAATACCACGAGGACGCTTGGCTGTCCATCCTACACCTCGCAATTGCCGCCAGAGATGTCTGAAATCTATGTCACGGGCCGCTGCAGCAACAGCAGCGGGTTTAACTCGGGAGCTGGAGCGGATGCGGGCCATCCGGCAAATTCTGTAATGACTGGCATTGCTGGCCATTCCCTCTGTATCCGCGTATCGCATTCCCGTTATCTTTGCCTCTCCTTTCCGCACCCTATTCTGACCTGTATCTAACTTTTCTCGTTTTGACCTTTCGGATCTTATTAATTTATAATGACTTGGATAAAGTATTGCCTGAGCCATTTCCTATTGTCGTGTGCTCTACGTCGTATAATACGACATAGGAATTCCTCTATGGCGTATCTTACGACGTCGGTAAGGAAGGGGTTAATAAAAACAAATGTAGTTGAGGAAGACATGATCTGAAATTGTATTCGGGGTTTCGAGCAATTGGCGGGGTGGGGATGATTTTCGAGCGCACTTTGATAGAGTATCGTGTGCCAAAACTTGCTTTGGCAGCTCCTGCAACGACAAACACAAACTCAGTCTGTTCCTACAAACTTTAATTTTACATACAAAGTTCGTCCCCACATAGTTCATCCCCTCATCAGCAGAAGAATAAATTAAGCTGACGAGGACATGATCTTGTATTACATTTAGAGTTTCTAGCTCCTTGTATGCCAATACCCCGATCTCGTGCTTACCCCGTGTATCTAGCTGGAGGATACAAACAACGTTCCAGTCAGATGAGAATATCGAAAGGAACACAATTGACCTTTGCACTCTTCGGCACGACTGCGGCGATGCTGTTTTGGACTGAAACCTTTCGCTACAAAACTCCAACAATCATGACAAAACACGCACCGAGTTGTCTTCATCCCATGTACATGTCCATGTCTCCTCTGACAGTCTACATTGTCGTCCTACCACGACTTCTCACTGCTTTTTCTACTCCACTTGAAGTGGTAGAGACTGTTTGATGCTCGCACCAAGTCGGTGGGCCAGTACCGAGTCCCGCATGACGATGAGGAGACGTCCTTTGCCGCTCTGGAGCTGCACTTCCAAGCCGATCAGAACCTGTTCCGCACTGGCGTCGCCGCTACGGAACCGACCCGCGAACTTGCATTTCCCCACGACCCCATTCATGTTGTTGATCTCGTAGATCTGAGCGACGTTGCACTGCTTCTGGACAGCCTGCACCACCGCGTTCATCTGCACTGGAGCAGACAGCGTCAGCTCACTCGTGTGGAGTGACGTCGCGTCCGTCATCGAGATGCGACGCTCAAAGTCTGCCAGGTTCATCTGCTGCGGCACGAGCAGCTCGCCAACAAGCGGAGACAGATCCACGTCGTACGTGTCTGCACTCGTGCTGATCTCCAGCGGGATGTTGTCCACACGTCCCTGGAAATCCACGTGGAGCTGCGCCGTGGACGTCGAGCCGCCAGGGAACAAGACCGGCAGCTCTGGGAACGACACCACCTGCTGCGGGTTCTTCCCGACCACTTGGACGCGTGCAATGGGCTCGTTCGAGTTGTTCGCCAGCCACAACTGGACCACATTCAGGCCAGGTGAGTGCGTGGACGGCTGACGGAGGAACGCGTAGTGGACGTCCAGTCCGTTCCCAGCCAGCGACGACAGCAGCTCGTGACGCGGAGGTGGCGTCGTCGACGAAGACACGCTGAGACTCATGAGATCGCCCAGCAGATTGCTAGCAGATGCGCCAGTGGACGCAGCCGTGGGAGGGAATGGCTGCATGGAAGGCGTGCTGGCTGGAGCCATACCGGGAGAACCCACGAGATCCAGCGAGTCGAATGCATTGACTGGCTTCGTCTTCTTCGACTGTGACGGGGACTTTGTCTTGTTCTTGTGACGTCGACGTGAACGCTCTTCCTCCTCGGAAGAGGCCTCGGACTCGCTTTCCGAAGACGAGACGTCGCTGTCGGATTCCGAAGCCGAGTCGGAGCCACTCGCGTCGCTACCGCTTTCCGAGTCATCGTCGGATCCACTTTCAGATTCCGATTCGGATTCCGACTGCGATTCGGACTCGGATCCGGAACTCTCGTCGCTGTAAAAGCCCTTCGAGCCACTCTCCTTCTTCTTCGTCGGCTTCGTGGCGCCAGGACGCGACGAATTGCTGCGGGTCGTGCCCACAACCACAGCTTCATCACGTAGAGATCGATCTGGCTTGGCCGATCGCCACGAGGGCAACGTCAGATACCCAGGGACACTGTGCCGCACCACATTCGACATGGATCCGAGCGTGAAGCGCGTCTTGCTCTCGTCGTCGTAGCCAATCAGCGGGGCTGGTTTCTGGCTCGCAAACAACTTGTGCGGGTTCACGACACTCGCGTCTCCAGAGAGCGCAGCACGGACCAACCGCGCACGGTCACGGACGTCGTAGTCGATGTCGAACTTGCACAGCTCCATCACGTACTGAAGCAGCAGCTGGATGGTGCGCTTCTGAGGCTCTCGTAGACCCAGTTTGACTGACAAATTCAGCAGCTGAAGCCGGACTTCAGTCGATTCGTCCGAGAATTCCTTAACCAGCAGTCGAAGTGACTCAGCCGCACACGTCGTGCCGTTGCCATCATCGTTGAAGTCTCCCAGCATCCACACGATCGAAGCACGCGCAGATGGACTCGTCACACGGCCAGTCACCATCATTGCAGCCAAAGAGCGCACGACCAGAAGACGGTCCTTCCTGATAGCTTGCTGCTGCAGTAGCTGACGGATCACCACCACACTCTCCGCCACGACCTGGTCGTTCGAGCTGCGAACCAGACGCATCAAGCCGCTCAAGCAGCGCTCCGCTACTGACGGCATCGCGTCAGCTACACGCCCCAGAGCACGCACCGTCATCGTGACGAAAGACTTGTCCACGTGACGCACATAGGCCTGGAACTCGCGTAAAATGATACTCACATTGTCGTTCGTGACCAAAGACGTCAAGATCTCCAGCTTGAGTTTCCGTGCGTACGCAGGATCCGTCGCACGTACAAAAAACTCTTGCAGAAAGGGCCGGAACATGTCCGGACGAGACGTGCCCATAGACGAGATGACGGACAGCACAACGTACTGGATCTCACGCTGGTTCCGCATGATCTTTACAAGCGACTTCACAATCAACGTGGATGTAGCCATACTATGTGTGCCACAATAGTAATGCAGTGTAGCCACAGCCAGCACCACCGCGCTGTTCCTCGACTTAAGCAACGGGATGGACGAGCGTAGCAGCAGTCGATGGTCTTCATCCAGCTCTTCTCCTCCTCCAATACCGCTAGCCAGCGCGTCACTACGGAACACGGAGCCAACAGAGGGCATGGAATTTCCTCCCAATAGAAACGGCGACCGGTTCTTCATCAGTTTCTGCTTCTCGTCGTCGTCCGAGCCACTGCCTTCATCCGAATAGAAACCTTTCTTACTTTTCCTTTTAGGGAACATCTCCTTCTTCTCCTGTACAGCAGGGGCTTGGAACTGTTCTCGACAGTACCGTATCAACACATGGAGGGTCACAGTTTGCCCCCACTCGTCGATATCTGCCAATAAATGGCAGAGTTTCCGAAAAGGACCATGTAGCAGGTCCAGTCTGTCCGGACAGACCTCGTTAAGGGCCTGTACGGCACTCCCCAGCACCATTGTACTGGAATCATTGAGTAATTCCCCAATGATCTCAGCCAGAACGTCCTTCTGTTCCGGATCCAGCACAAACACTTTACTAATCGCATTTGTGGCGCATTTTCGGACATAAGCGGAGTCGTCGGCCGCGCATTTGCGGATAGCGATGAGTTGGATCTGAACGATGTCGCGGACGCGGATACTGGTCATTACCCGTAGCGCCAGCGCTCTAATGAGCTGATTCGGGTCGGCCAGATCCTTTTGGAAGCTGTTGATACTGAGCAACGCCAGCTCGCGACACTGCGCGTTGGCGTCTGCGTAGTGCACCAGGTACATGTACACGAGCTTCTTGACTTCGACACTGGCCACGATCACGTTCTTCACCACGTCAGCGAAGAATGGAGACACGTCTTCGCCCTTGGAGATGCTGGCGAGCAGAGTTTTCATGGCCTCGAGCTTCTCGCTGTGACCGGCAACACCCAGTTTGTTGTCCAGCAGCTTACGGATGCGGTCCAGGTTCATGCTCTCCTCGAAGAAGTGCGCATCGCCCGTGATGCTTTTTATCCCAATTGCCATCGCCATTTTGGATGCGGGGGTCGGATGATTCGGATCTGAGGGGAAGATTGGCAAAGTCGATACATAATTTTTTTTAAAAAAGTGATTTTTCTAAGAAAAGCACTTTTTCCAAAAACGACAGCTTTGCTGGAAAGAAAACAGTACCGTATTTGAGATCTCCTACTTCAGAGTGATCTCCTAATTCAGACTGCCCTCCAACCAATCACATATCGAGAATGGAACAGCGCACAAGTCTAGATCTCCTAATTCAGAGTACAAAAAACGTGCTAGACTGTAACTATCCACCCAGAAATTCGCAATGGCGCGCACTCCCCTCACGGCCAACGGAAAGGGAGAACCCGTATTTCTGGCACTGGCAAGCCTCCCAAGAAGTTCAAGCGCGTTGCCATTTCATACGCCTACAAGCTTTCGGTTGTGGAGGGAACCTGATTGGGAGCTGCTACGAGTAGTGCGCCATGCTGTGGATACGCGTCACGACAGATAACTTCGTAGTTCCCGAAGAATAACTTGATAACTAAATTGTTTTGTTTAAATAATACGTGATAGAGATGCGTCGGTACATGTACAGATCTTGTGTATTTTGCAACAATACAACTTCAAAAATATTGGGTCTGAAGTAGGAGATCTCAAATACGGTACTGGATAAATCCAGAGGACGTGACAATCCAGTGATTTCGTACCCAGTCATAACCGTTTTGAATTGTTTGAGTGTTCAGCTAAAACCTCTCTTTGCACAAATAATCTTATGCACGTAGGTTGACCAAGATAAGACAAATTACTTTGCTATTTAATAAACTTGTATGTGATGATACTGTATTGAAACCTGCCAGAAACTATTTATCCAAGCCGCTCACGCGCATATCGTCGGACCTAGCCACCCGCCGCGTCTCCAAAGAACCAACATTAAAGCTATGTAGTATTTTTCTTCGCGCGACAAGATTACATTGTCAGATCTTTGAGCCACCTCACTCAACGGCGAAGACTTATTAGCCAAAAAAATAACGGTGGATTATGCTTCCATGGCCCAATCATTTCACTTGGATCCATATGGCAGTGGACGCCGTATGGTCCGTTTGATCCACGTCCACAGTGTGAAATTAGGGTTGGTGGCCGTGGACGGAAGGTGGACGGGAGGAGAGACATACCTGACGGGATAGAACGACACCTTACTTCAGTAAAAACAAGGCCGCTCTCGACTGTCAGAGCACCATCATTGGTGATACCATGACCCGCGGCGTGTCTACGTATTGTAAGATGCCCAGCAGAGGAAGTGACAGCGAAGTATGCGCGAAGGAAAGGGTGTCGAGGCTTCACTTGGTGGTCAGGAAGAAAGTAGGAAAGTGATTAATGATGGGACATACGGAAAATTCAAACTACTGGATGCTCTTACACATGTAGGCCATGGCGTGCTCCCGCTCGCCTCCATGGCGCCCAACCTTGTTCTCGTGATTGCAATTGGCTACAATGTACTGCTCCTACAGTGATGATGCAGTTCTTGGCTGCAGCTCGCCCATGTAAATAGGGTACACACGTACCGTAGTATCCAGCTTCATCTTCGCTCACCACAAACTTCAACGTGCGCCTCTCCTAGGCCACACGCATTCCGATAGTCGCGTGTTCGTCATCACCATCGGTTTGCTAAATGCCCAACACTCCCACTCGATGAAACTCGAGGTATTACGGAAATACTCGAACTTGACTCTGCCTAACGGTTTGGTGAAGTGATTCTCCACCATCTCGTAAGTGGGGCAGTATTGCACGCGAACTTCGTTGCTTGAGACCTTCTCGCGCAGCCAATGGGTATTCGTGCTGATGTAACGGGATCGCTGAGTGACTGACTTGTTGCGCACCCTGGTTATCCTCCATGTCCAGAATCGCTTCCTCAGCAAATTCCAAGCCGTCTAGCACCGAGTTAAGTTCAATACACTCCTGCCCACCGCTGCTCATAGCAATGTATTCTGCTTCAGTCGACGAAAGCGTTACCATGGACTGTTTCTTGGATCCCCACTCAGCCAGATTTCCGTTGTAGAAGATAGCGTATCCGGTCGATGAGCGTGACTCTCTTTCCCTGGAAAACGCTGCATCATAGTACACAACGAGACCTTGATCGCCGTGACTCTGAAACATCAAGCCAAAATCACGAGTTCCGTTCAGATAACGGAAGACACGGTCGACGCTCTTCTTCACTGCAATTGACGGACGATCCGTTTCTTGAGCAAGTAGACGTACAGCCATAGTCACATCCGGTCTGCTAATGACAGCCAAATAAAGCAGAGCTCCAACGACAGGTCGTGGCCGAAATGAGCACTCTTCTTAGCTCTGGAGTAGCAGATCCCTGTAGCGCTCCTCCATGAGTGTCAGCACCGCCTTTGCTTTGTTCATGCCAAAACGTTCGAGAATTGCTGAGATGTACTTGTGTTGACCAATGCAAACTCCATCTCCAGCAGGCGACCACTGCAATTCGAGCCCTAGAAAGTAGGTGATGTCGTCAAAGTTGTTCACCTCGTACTCGTTCTCCATGGCAGACTATATTTGCTCCTAATCTTCGTTTCTCATGGCGAAAGCCAGTATGTCGTCCACATACACAACAACATTCATCAAATCAGCATCGGACCCCTTGACAAACAGGCAGAAGTCAGCATTGCCTTGACGAAACACACAAACTTAACAGAAACGAAGATAGGTTCTCGTACCAGGCGCGGAATACCTGTTTTAGCCCATATAAAGCTCGAAGAAGGCGCTAGGCGTAGCCATTAGGTCCCGAGTTTAAGAACGCTGTCTTGACGTCCAATTACAGGCGCTTCATACGCTTTGATATCACAACTACGAGCACAATTCGCAGCGTGCTGTGACGCACCACCGGACTAAATGTCTCGGTAAAGTTCTCACCACAGCGCTGACTGTGGCCCTTTGCTACTACACGAGCCTTGTACTTATCCAAAGTACCGTCAGCATTTGTCTTCCTCTTATAGACCCATTTTGAAGTGATGGCTTTGCGTCCTGAAGGCAGTGGGACTTCCACAAACGTGCCACTTTTGACGAGACTTCGAATTTCTTGATCCATCGCATGCTCCCACTCGCTCCGATTATCACTTTGGCACACCTCATCGAGGTAAACTGGGTCCAACGAAAGTGCCCATTCTCCAACACCACTTGGAGCCATCTTGCCATAAATGAACGCATCTGCAACGTTTACACGCTCAATCTTGAAGTCAGTGCAGCGCTCCTCCACCATCTTGCAGAGGAGAGGTGCGACGCCTCGTAGTCCAGGCGCCGTCGGCTTGGCTTGGACATCCGTGTTGAACGTCGAGCCGGTGGTTTAGCCCTCTCAATCCTGGGGTCGCCTTGCAGACGGGCTTCTATACGATGGACTCCCACTGGCCCGGAACGTTTAGGTCGGTTCAAGGGTGTCTCCCAGTCGGAAAATGCCGGAGTCATGATGACATCGTCTTGCTTTTCTTCTTCGGCAGGAACAAGCTGCAGCTGACGCTCAGTGTGTTGAACCAATTCAAGTTCAAGCTCCGTACTGATCTTGATCTCATCGTCATCAGCGGGAGGGAGGAATTGGTTTCCATAGAAAACCACCGTACGTGCTGTAGCAACTTCACCTCGTCCTTGCCCGGAAATATGCACTAAATACGAGTACCGGCAGCGTAGCCAATGAAGACACCATTGCGGGTCTTTGCATTCAGTTTCTTACGATGTTCCTTTGGGATCAGCGCCTGTACTTTGCACCCAGAACCTCGTAGGCTGCTGATGTCTGGTGGTGAGCCCAGCAGTGCTTTCATCGGGGTCTTCCCGTCGAGCACCTTGCTCGGACAGCGGTTGCATATGTACGCAGCACATACCACGGCATCGGCCCAATAGTGTACAGGAAGGTTGGGACCCAACATCATTGATCTCTCCATCTCAACAATCACCCGGTTGCAGCGTTCAACCTTGTCGTTCTTTTGTGGGTTGCAAGGGGTGCCGAATTCCTGCAGGATGTCCTTCTCTTTACAGAATGTAGCTATGTCGCTGCCAACGTATTCGAGGGCGTTGTCGGACTTTAAGAAAGCCAATCGATAGCTCGATACGTACGCCTTCAGCCTGGCGATACAATCTTTGATTGCCTCCAGCTGTGCACTTAAGCTCTTCTCACGTAATGGATACACCATGTCCAAATGAAATGGTTCCACAACAATATTGATCAAGCCCGTGTACCCTTCGCATGACGTCACATGCATTGGTCCTACGTAGTCAATCGCCAACAGCATCTGCTCCTTCTTCAAGACGCGTCTGTTCTTAGCTGGGAACGGTCGCTGAGCGAGCCTTCCGCTCACACAGGCTGGGCAGGACTGCTCCACGGCCCCAAGCCACGTAAGCTTCAGATCTGTCAGAGCGCTGTGAAGACTCTGAGTGTTTAAATGACCCAGACGACGGTGCCACGTTTCAACGTGCGGTGCCTCGCTTGTCATTAAAGCTGTACCAGGAATTGTTTCGCTCACTGCGTCCACTACATTAATCGACTGATTAGCACGTGATGCTTCCAATGTGACACCGCTACGCGAGCGAATCACACACGTTACGTCCTTGAACACGACCTCCATCCCGTTCTTCGACGCAGCAGCCACAAAAACCAAATTACGCGCCAAGCCGCGGACGAATAACACTTCTTGCGGCACACATACTTCATGTCCGTTAAGAAGCAAAGGCGCCTGCCCAATGGCGGTTGCCACCAAATTGTTACCAGATGCAACCGTTTGTGTACGTGGCTCCTCTAGCTCGCGCTCTCCTATCAGGTTGTCCATATGACGCGTCATGTGGCTCGTAGCACCACTGTCTACGATCCACTCGCGTCGGTTGTCAGCTGCATCGTCCTCCACTGAGAATGCCATGCTGACAGCCTCTCTCTTTACCGCTCCAAACGTCACGTGTTCGTTAGTACAGTCTCTCGCGAAGTGTCCCATTCGACTGCAGCTAAAACACTTGATATTCGACATGTTCTTCTCCGTCTGCTGCTGTTTGGTGCCACCTCACTTGTTGGTCTTCTGCTCAGGATTAAAAGCGGCGGCTGCCATGCCGCTGCTAGGCGGACCACTTGAAGAGCGATGTCCTTTTTGCTGCTCCCGACGGATTGCTTCTGCCTGGCAGCGCGTTAGCATATTCTCGAGAGTAGGCGACACCGACAAACCTCTTCCGTGCAGGGCCAAGACTGTGCATAAAGTTTTGTCGCGGTTCTTCGTCTCCAGCTTCTAAGTGAAGCTATTGAAGCTCCTCCAGGACACGACGCGTGGTCTGAATGTGCTCCAGTATCGACTCATCCCCGTTCAAATCGAGCCCCATGTACTCTCTCTTGGCCGCACCAATGCTCGCACTGCATTTGACGTTGTACGTCATACGCAAGTGATGCATGATCGACATCGGGTGGGTCAACAAGTAGCACGCCGAAGCCAGTTTTTCACTCAGTGCAGCCAGTATTATGGACATCGCCATCTTCTGCTTCATGAGTCGATCGTGCAGCGGAATAGGCACTGTATCCATTGTAGTTGACGATCCCGGCGTTGCCGACGCAGTCGCCGCCGCTGCAACGTCCTTCTCAGCCTTGCCTTCCGCCGCATTCGGCGTTGGTTCCTGGGCCGCATCCCAGAGGCCTTTCACCTCCAGTACAAGCCGTACTTGGGCTCCCCATGCCGAAAACCCCGATCAGAACGACCCCCCGTACGGTTGGTATGGCTAGGACTGGCGGTGTTGTAAATGGATTGTGCGGGCGATCTTCCGTGAACACGACTTGCTGGAGATCGCTGAAGGCGAGCGGAACTCACTAGTCAAGAGTCAGAAGCTGCATCTGATAAGAAGCAGTATAAGATCATGCGAATGATAGCACAACAATTCCATCCAATAGCCTCCAGCAGGTGGACAAGCACGAGGCCGGGACAGAGATGTGGGTTGCACTTTGTGAGATTTATGAGAAAAAGCAGAATGCTACGATTCGCGAAGCACGATATTGAGACTCTCAGATGAGTTAACAAACATGAAGTGCTCAGCCGTAGATAGAGCTGTCGACGTCTGGTGTATTCGAAGATTTACACCTCGACATCCAGAAATGCAAACGACGTAAAAAATACACCCCTTCGACACCCACCTTTGGGTCACTCTTGTGCTGCTGTTTGTGGAGAGCAACCTCACCAAATGTGGCGTTGTTGCTCATGCTCCATGGCCGTTTGAAGCCCAATTCATCTATTGATACAAGCCGTCCGATGCGCAGGTCGCACAGCAGCAAGCAGGGATTGGCAATATCGGCAGTGCCCAGACATCAATTACTGCTCCGCGTTGGTTTCGTGCACACGAGTGCTTCCTGTCATTTGGTCGGAACAGGTGCACAAGTTTGGCGCCAAATCAGTCTGGCTGTACTGAATTGGCGCTGAATGGGTCTAAAATGAACGATGCGCTGGGCGCGGAGTAAACCTTCGTGGCTTGCCAAGATCCATGAGGATCTTCTTAGAAGTGGGTGTCATGCGCATGTAAATATGGCAGTTGGCAAGCTGAAAAATGGCAGGTTATGACTGGGCTCTCTCACATAGTTTCGACCAATCACACTACGAGAATCGTATGAGTGTCGGCGTGGTGCAACGCGACATCGAGTGCAAAAGATCAGACGTCCGGCGTCGTCGACGTCGAATCAGTGCCAAGGGTCGCGACGTCGACAGCTCTAGCCGTAGATGCTGTACAGGCCCACGTAAACAAGATGTTCAATCTGAAAGCCGACTTAGCGAGCTACGGATATGAAGTCAAGAACATAAATATGAAGCCTATGTTGTTAGACAGTCTACCGGACCTGTATGAGTTTGAGTAAACCGGGGTGCAGTGAAATACGGCGGACATGGTGGTACTTCGACGCCTGATGAGCTCCGTGTGCTGATTGGGGAGGCTGCGAGGCACCCATCGTTCCCGGCTGGCTTCACGACCATGGCCGCCAGCCGGCACGCTCACACATCGTCCACCTCCCTCTCATCATCCATGCAAAACCCGTCGTTCGCATTCCACGTGTACTGCCACTCATCACCTGACTTTCCAGCCATGTGGTCCACTCGACTGCTCAATCCTTTACACGCCTTTTTCCGCCACAGAGTCTTCCACGACTCTATCGGCCGCGTACAATTCGGCGTACACCGCTCCGGAGACCCACACGCTCTCAGGGGCTCCTGTGGCACATTTCTTTCGCTGTATTGGTCGCAACCCGTACTCGAAAATATAACATCCGGCCTTGTTTCGACGTCATCTTCTTCGGACCTTCACCATTGCGCCACACGTGACTCGCAATGCTTCGTCACGGTCCATCGTCCTTTCCTCGTGTTTGTCCACTCTTCCTCCCACTGCTGTTTGCACAGGCGCCTTCGCTGATCCAGCAGTCGCGCTTGCTGACTGGACATCTTCACCTGACTCGCCCAAATTTTCATACGCCAGCTGTACCGCGATGTCTGCCGCCACGTTTCAGCAAGTCCACCGAATAATAGTAGGTGATCAGGAAGGCCACGTGAGCTATAAATCGCTCGGGTGCCCCGTTCTGATCCTCTCGTTTGACCAAGAAGATCTCAAACCCTGCAGGTTCAATAATCTTCATCGGCCCCATATATTGGTGGGCAAATTTACTTGCTTTTGGTCCTGAAGCGGTCGGTACACCCACACCCGATCGCCTGGCTTAAATTCACGCCGTTTCTTCACTTTTCGGCTGTAGTAGGAGGCCTGGCGGCGCTGCTCACGCTCCCGCGCACTCTCCGCTGCCTCGTAACCCTTGCGCATCGCCATAACTCACTGCTTATGATAGACAGACAACTCTCCCATCTCCGTGACGCCGTTCACACTTAACAACTCGTTTAACCTCCCTAACCGCCTGCCCATCATTAACTCATTTGGTGAAAGCGCCACCGTCAAATGCCTGCCGGAATTGTAGGCGCAGAATGCGAAGGGCACCCACGTAGCCCTGTCATTTTGGGCGTCCGCTTGCATGTACGTGGCCACACAATCCTTCCATGTACGATGGAAGCGTTCCACCAAGCCAATCATCTGAGGCCTATACAACACCGGATTGATCTGCTCAGCTTGCGGCATTGCAACCAGCCTCTCGATCGCAATCCCCGTCAACTCCGGCGCACCATCCGTCGATAATTCCCGAAATACACCAAATTTAAGCACAATCTCCTTCATTAGGAACCTGGTTACATTCTTCACCGTGTGCCGATCGACCGCTTTTGCCACCGCATAACGGGTCACGTACACGACAGACGCGATAACGTATCTCTTCCCACCGTCGGCCACCGGCAGGTGGCCAGCCACATCTAAAGCCCACCTATCTCAGACTGCACCTCCTCTAATACTCCGAAAGGGTGGCACCACATCACGCGGTTTAGCTTTTCGACTGCCACACTCCTGGCAGCCACGCACCCCACGCTTCACCTTCCGCTGTAAATCCGGCCACCAATAGTGCGCGGATATCCTCTCGTACGTGTGTGGCGGTCGTAAATGGCCGGCCCACACTGAATCGTGATGCACTTTGAATGCCACCGGCCACAGCTCAGGTGGAAGCACCACTCGTCGCCCTTGCGACGTCTCAACCGTCACCAAGTTATGCCGCACCTATACCGCCATCTTTCTGTACGAACGTGCCTTAACCATGCGCTGCACCAGTCCACGCCGCAGCTGCGCCGTATCACCGCGTCATCTGTCAGCTGTAGCGTCGGCAGTTGTCGCTGCTGCTCGTGCGAATCGAGCACGTCATCGTCTACTGGGTTCCGCGTCACGTTCTGCGGTCGCTGGCTGTCCTGCAGGCCTTCTCCACCTCGTATCGGGTAGCTCCGCTCCTCTCCGCCCACCGCCGATTCCTCGTCCGGCACAAGCTGTCTGGCCACCGGCACGTTGCGTTGTCGGCCGCCGCCCTCAGACCGCGACGTGCCTCCAGTTTCTCTTCGCCGAGCCGTTACTACCGCCGCTTCGGCCGTCTGGCTACCATCGCCCCACTCACTTTCGGCTACTACAGTCATCGCCGGTGGCCTCTGTATCGTAGTTTCCGACTTCTTCTTTTGCTCATCGCGACGCCACTCAGCACCTCGGGGCATTGTATGTCCAAGCGCGTCTTGCTCCAGTGGCTGTTGAAACCGTACTCGGCGCTGCGTCTGCTGCCTGTCTTGTCCGACTGATTGTGCGGGTTTTGCTGCCTGGGACTGCTGCCCATCGCTTCGCCCATTCATAATGCTTAGAGCCGCTTCCAGACGTCGTTTGGCCGCCCTTGTGAGTGGCCGCGTAGGCTCTATTTCCGCCGCTTCAATACGACAGTCCCACACCTTGTCGCGTTGGCGAGGTCGATGGTCTTCGCGCGCCTTCTCCAGCCGCATCGACTTATCGACACCATGCGCCGTCTCCAGTATGGGCAACGCCCGAACCAGTGGCTCACCTTTGGTAGTGACACGCGTACTTTCCTCTACAGTATCCTTGACCTCCCGTACTATTGTCTTCGCCGCCTCAGATTCGGCCGGCGCCGACCCGGCCGCATTCGCCACCACGTTCGCCCGACTGGTCGGTGCCCGTTCCACTTCGCCGTCGTGACTCCTACCTGCCCCCGCCCGTACACCACTCGCTGTCTGTGCGTCTCCCTCTATAGCCACCAGTTGACGAGAACGTCGCCGCCGCCCGAATGCTGCCGCCACTTTTGCCGGTGCTCTCGACAAGGCGTCGGCCACTACATTCGTGCTTCCTGGTCGGTACTCCACGGTGAACTCAAGCTCCTGCAGGGTCAAGGCCCAGCGGTGCAACTTGCCCGTCAAATTAGGGCTGATCATCAGCCACTTTAAGGCCGCGTGGTCGGTCACGATTGTGAACGTCCGCCCATACAGATACGGCCTGAATAGTTTAATTGACCAAACTACCGCCAAATACGCAAGCCCCGTAATGCCGTAGTTTGACTCCGTGCGACTGTTAACCTTACTTGCGTAGGCCACCGGCTGCCACCCGTGTCCATGGTCTTGCATCAAGCAAGCGCCAATCCGACAGTACTTGCGTCCATTACCACACGAAATGGCAGCTTAAAGTTGGGATAGACCAGTAGCGGCTTGGTCGTCAAGACCACTTTCACGTGCTCAAACTCAGCCTCTTGCGCCACTGTCCATTCCCACGCTGCATCCTTGCGTAACAACTTCATCATGGGCGCCATGAGCGACCCGAAGCCCTCGATAAACCGACGATAATAGCGGGCGAGATGTACGAGCGGCTTTACTTTAATGGCGTCCACCGGCCTCGGAAAGTCTTGTACCGCCGTCACTAGACGCTTTAGTAGTCGCACCCCATCGAAACTGAGCTCGTGTCCTAAGTACTCCATCTTTCTTGTCGCGAACATACACTTCTTCAATTTTAGAGCTAATCCAGCCGCCGCCAGACGCTCCAACACGCACGCGACCTCCACCACATGCCGTTCAATGCCTCCTTGTGTGAAGACGACAAAACCATCCGAGTAGACAAGGCAAGTTAACCATGTAAGCCTCCGTAGCACGCTGTTCATCATGCGCTGAAACGTAGAGGGCGACCCGTTAAACCAAATGGCATCCGCACGAAGTGGTACAACCCCTACTTAGTGGTGAAGGCGGTCTTGGGCCGGTCGGCCTCGACGACCCGAATCTGCCAATACCCCGCCTTCAGATCCAGCGTCGTAAACAGCACCACACCGCCTAAGGCCTCCAAGGTCTCGTCTATTCGTGGCAAAGGATAAACGTTCTTCTTCGTCACCTTATTAAGCGCTCGATAATCGACGCAAAAGCGCACCTCACCGTCCTTCTTCTTGACCAAAACTACCGGAAATCCCCACGCACTTTCTCCTTATTCGATTACTTCTGCCCTTAGCATCTTTGTCACGTTACTGGTCACCACCGGGTCGTCCGTCTGCGCCAAAGGTCTCCTCTTTGACATGATTGGGGCCGCATCTCCCGTGTCGATGTGGTGTTCAATGTTTAGGGTCGTCGCGGGTGGACAGTCGCCGGTATTCTCAGCTGTCTTTCGGTATGCCCGCAGCAACTTCATCATCAACTGTCTACTTGCCTCGTCTCCTTCGCCAATTCGGACATCGCCTTCGTTTGACAGCGGCGTGTCCACGTCTCCTAGCTCACCCAGCCACTTCAGTATCTTCGCGTCGCAGCGCACCGTTAATCGCCAGCACCGTCATGC